CGCAAAAGGGTTCATCAATGCCATTGGTTGATGGACACGTGAAGGACATAATTATTGGCCCTTGTTCTACTAAACTCCAATGTGCAGAATCGCGTCAGAGGTGCGGTAATTTAAACGCAATTGAGGAATTTAATAATAGACTTGAGTGTGCAGGAGCGGCAATGGATGTTGGGCACAAGGAGATTGTCGATGAAGCGGTGGAATTTATTATTCCACAAGTGGGTTCAGCAGTGCCATTATTTGATGGACACGTGAAGGATGATTTTATTGGCCCTTGTACGCCTTTGGATAGGACGTTAATCTTGGGTTTTGCCGACAGTCCGCATGATCCGAATGTTAAGGTAGTGCCTTTCCGAAAGGCGGCTGAGGGGTTGTCACCTAACTCACCTGAGCGTATTTCCGAAGAGTCGTTAGTATTACCGTTTCGTTCCTTTACAAAAAATTTGAAGTTGAAGAAATTTGGTTCTATGCTAGACATTCAGGGTAAAGTTTTATCAAAAGCTGAGAGAAGAAGAAAAGATCGAGCGCTGAAAAAATTTAACTTGAAGAAATCGAATCTTTTACTATCTGAATTATCAGGTACATCCATTTCAGATTATGTTTTAAAACAAAGATGGGCTGAAGCTTTTCTTGAAGCGCAGGAAATTGTGTCTGTAGGCAGGCATCTTGGACAAATGGTTGATAGTCCTGAAACTGTGATTCTTTAGAAGCTTTTGATTGAACCTTGGTGATGTAATTGGAGTTCCCAATGTGTTATGATGGATTTATATTTCAGTAGGGTAGGATGTTGTTCTTGAGAATTTCTGAGTTGGTTGGTTTGGTTGTTACTGATTTAGTATTTTGGGGTTTGTGCTTTCATCGTTGCTTGAGGTGGTCTGTTGGGGTGCAATTGCTTTTGCTTGCTGGTTGTTTTTTTCGGAGCTGTTTGGATTTGCTGATTGAAACCTGGCGTCTTCTTTGTGATCAATGTAGCTCTCTTGATGTCCAGGTTCTAGTTTCAAGTTTGAGGTCTTTCTTTTATTATGTTGGTTGTGTTGAGTTCTTCTATGGTGCTTTTTCGTAAGAGGTATTGTGGGTAGCTATTTTGATATTTTCTTTATGTGTTCTTTTAGGCTGGTTTTTGCAGTCGTTTGTAGATGTTTTCATAACAACAGGTTAAATGTGTCTTTGAGGTCTCTTGGTTTCTCAGGTAGTGTTTGCTTCTGAGGAGCTAGGTCTTGGCTTCATGTTCTCTCCACCTCAAGGTTCACTCTTTTTCCTCAAATAAGTTTAGGAAGGTTTTTTAATGAGGTCCATGGGGTGGTGTACTTTGTAACATATTCAATACAAAGTACCCCTCTTTCAAAAAAAAAAAAAAAAGAAGTGCATCAAACCATTGCTAGAGTCAAGCAAATAGATTGGGCTATAACAAGTGTCGTCGAAGAGTCCTTTATTAGCGTCAAACATAGGAGGCCAAGCACGGGGAATACCTGCTGCCTCAGCCTGAGGGAGCAATGCTCCATCAAAGAATGGTTTCTTCCAATCCCTAACGCGTATTTGACATCCCAAGAAGGGAAGGGATGGTGTTATTATGGGCACACAGCAACTCATAATCAGTACGTACCAATCTTTGCAGACGCAACAACATCTCATCAGAATATTGGGCGGCAAACGACAAAGCACTTCGATCAGCAAATCATTGGAAAGCACCCCAATGTTTCTTCCTGGATCAATTTGTTCCATTGCGTCCCCGTTGTTCCATATGCTTGAATTCAGGTTCAGCTCCAAGACAATTTTCTTAAACACAGAAGATAATACTGCCTTCATTGTGCCGCACAGACCGGAAAAGTAAATAAATTTTCATATATTTATAGGAAAAAAGAGTTAGTATTTGGTGACAACATTGTCAAAGAAATTACATACTACTCGAATTGTGTCAACGTAGTAAAAGGAATTGTATTCGACTATAAGTAAAGTTTAATTAAAATTTAAAAAATATTATTCAGTAAAATTAATTTTAAATTTTAATTTTATTCGGGTTAAATTTGATTTGATTACACCCTTGATTTTCTCTATTTTATTACTATATAATTTAATTTCAGTCGTATAATTTATTCTGCTAGGGCCAAGGGGCATACAATTTGCTAGGCCCCTGTGTTCAACACTGATGACCCAACTGTTGCTCGCTATGGTTTCTTAAGCAACATATGTCGTGGCCCAAACCATTTGACTCTGTATTCCTATATTTTCTCGATCCATAATTATTTTATATTATTTCAAATCTTTCGTGGTAACATTTACTCACTTCTTCCACATTCGCCTGCAACCTTTAAAATTTAGATAGTCCATATATATTCCATTCACAGATTAAATAACATTTTTTTTTAAATTATGATATCTTTTTATTTCTTTTTGAAATTTTAACATAGGTTTTATATATTTTATTTTCTTCTTAAAGTACATGTTTCCGTGTTAATATTATTAAAATTTTAATGATTTACTTTCTTTTATCTAAACAATAATAATACGATTCTGTTCACAAAGAACCATGTTTGTAACCCTTGAGAAATATGTGAGGCACCGATATATAACATTAGGCCTGTTATTGATGGTTTGATTCGTGAGAAAATATTTTATTATATTTTACTAGAAAGTTTAATATCTAATTTAGACGTTTATCACACTTTTAATAGAAAATAATGAGTTTAGAATATAAATAACTTGATGATATTTTATAATTTTTAATAGTAAAAATAATCAACAAAATAACTTCTTATAAAAGTACCATTTATATATTCTAAATTCAAATGCAATGTCAGTGCATCCAAATTTTTTGTTGTTTATAAGAGTGGTACATTTTGACTCAAATTATAACTGATAATTAAGTTAGATTTTATTATAATTATTGTAATTAAGTTGAAGTCTTGGTAATCAAGTATTTGGCTATATAAATAGATATAAAGTCTTAACCTAATGAGAGATAATTATTTTGGAGAGATGTAATCCTTTGTAGGATATCTGTAACTTTTTGGGTTTATGTTGTAGAGATAATTTGTAGTGATTGAGAGAGTTTTGGGATACATGTGATATATGTATTTGTATTCTTCGTGATCTCTACATCTATAATGAATTATTGTTTATCTCGCCCATGGAAGTAGGCAGAACCGAACCGCTTTAAATCTCGTCTCTTGTGTATATTTTGTTATGTTGATATTGTTTTGGTTATTTTTCCGCTTACAAATTTTAACAAAGAGAAAATTAAATCAAGTTCTTGAAGCATAGTGAATGATGTGCAATTTCTAATATTTTTTAGATATAATTTTAGATTTTGTTCTAGGGGCGATTCTATGGCATAAGTTTGGGTCGGTTTTTGGTTTATAGTTTGGATTGGATAATGTAAGGTTTTAATTGTGTATTTTGGCTATGATTAATAAAGTTTTAGATTCTCTTTTTACTTCCGCTTTCTTAATTGGATTACGACTTCATCAAATTATAGGAGAATTTCTAGCGAGGCCCCTCTTACTTTACCATAAATTTTATTATATGACTTGTTGTTTAAATATGCACAACATGTAAGTGAACATTTGTCAAGTGAAAAGACATTATTATTGTAGTGACAAAGAAATAATCAGTCGTGTATATATAAATATGAAGCAAGAGGGTGTAAACCTTTATTATATGTTCATCTCTTTTTGTGATTTAAACATTTATTATATGTTTACTAGCCGCCTAACTAAATAAATTTGAATAAAAGATAAATACAAACATATCTAACTACATCGATAAACAAACCACAAAAAGGAAAAAGTTATTGAAAGATCACCGATAAATCGCAAATCAAAATTAAATAACGTGAAAATATTATCCACAAATGCAAATCGTGTATCCAAATCCAATATGAAGGTCCAAAGTAGGGAAGATCAACATGATAATAAATAAACGTCATCTTGATCAGTCGTGGAGATGTCAAATCCAACCCTAAAATAGAGAATAAACAAAAACAACGGTCAAACGATCGAAAACGTACCACAAAAGCAGAAGAAGTATCATAGAGACAGAAGAAGACGTGTCATAAAGGTATAATTATTAAAAATAAAAAAATAAGAAAAAAAATAAAGATACTATATAATAAAACAATGAATAGAAAAGGTCGACGGCCAACACCAAAACTAGGTGGTCGCCGATCATAAAGATGGAAAAAAAAGAAATTAATAATAACAAAGGAAAAAGAAAGAAAAATAAGGCAAACCCTATAAAAATTTTTCCTTTCTTATTAAAATACTGGCATAATATATATAATATATATATATATATATATATATAAAGAACATGCTACATATGCATAATGAACATTTCTTTTTCCTGGAACAAGTCTCTTTTTTCTTTCATTTTTCAACATATGTAAGTATCAACCAACACCTCGTTCACATAAATAAATCTATAAAATACATAACTAGTTGATTTATACAAATAAAAATAGAATATTTATATGGACGTGTTATTTTCGTCTCACGGCCACCATTTGTTTTTTATTCAGAATACACGTTTGACTGTTTCATCGAATCTTTAATATGACCGGCCGTCCACATACAATTATTACTATGCTGCAAAAAATATATATACATGATGTGCATTCAAAAAATAGAAAATTAGCAATTTGGTAATAAATAAATGGTTATTATTCTTTGAGGGATCACTAGTGTAGTTTACTCTTTATTTTTATAAGACGAGTATGAATTATAAGAGTCCAGGTAAATCCCCACCAGGTCATAGCTATGGCATCTCTAAATAAACTTTGCGCTAATGCCGGAGATAAACAAGTTAGCTATGCCGATAATTCCTCACTACAAGTTCAATAAATTTGTTTACCACATTTTTTTCTTTCCTTGTTTTCAGAATTATTCTACTAAACAAGTTCAATCCTGGAGGATAGCATCAGAGATATGGTGATCAGATTTATCCGGTCACTTGTGTTAAGGTGGCAGACTTGGGCTGTGCTTCGGGTCCCAACACCTTCTTCCAACATATAGAGTTATGGATACCATCACTAGCATCTGCCAACAACAACACTGGGAATCACCTGAGCTTCATGCCCTCCTAAATGATCTTACCCATAACGACTTCAACACTGTCTTTAGATCCGTCCCTGCTTTAAGTGCCAGGCTCAAGGAAGACATCATGGGGCGTTGCTTCATAGCCAGAGTAGCAGGTTCCTTTTATGGAAGACTTTTTCCAAGCAAAACCATTCACTTTGTTCATTCTTCTTACAGTCTTCATTGGCTCTCAAAGGTTAGCAATCATACATAATGAGTGTTATCGTGCAGAGAGATGTGTGCTTATAAGATTATGAATGAATTTTAGGTCCCAGAAGGAGTTGAGTATAACAAGGGGAACATATATATAGCAAAGTCAAGTCTACCTAATGTATCTAAAGCTTAGGCGGAGCAGTTTCGAGTCGATTTTTCAAATTTTTTACGCTTTTGTTCCGAAGAAATGGTAGATGAAGGACGAATGTTGCTGACATTAATCGGTAGAAGCACGATTGACCCACAAGCAAAGACAGTTGTGGCTATGGGATCTTTTTACCAAATCACTCAATGACTTGGTGGCTGAGGTCTGGTATTTTTTTTCTTCAGTTAATACATCGTGTATATATGGATTTAAATTGTTTAATTCATACGTTAGTGAATATATATTTGGTTGCAGGGATTGGTGCATCAATCGGATATAGATTCATTCAATTTCCTTACTATTTCCCATGTGAAGAAGAGTGAGGGAATCATAGAAAATGAGGTTCTTTTGTTATTGATAAGATAGAAATTTTTAAAATGAATTGGGATTTCGAAGATAATGATTATAATGAAAATTATGTATTTGAAAAGGGTAGAAGTGGGCAAAATGTTGCAAATGGTCTGATAGCAGTTGCTGAATCTGTATTTGTCGATCATTTGGAAGACCATTATTGATGATTTGTTCGCAAATATGCAACATGCGGGTGAACTTTGTCTCGTGAGAAGACAAAATATACTAATATGTCCTTTTAATGACTATGAAATAGAAATAATTTATATGCATTTTTAATAAAGTAATTTTCTGGATTCTTACATCATTTCATTTCAGGTCTTTTTGACAGACGATTCTGTATTATCATTGTTCCGATTTCATTGCATCTTTCCATCTTCGTGTCGAGTAATATATATGGGATAAAAGGAACATATGGGCCAAATGTTTCTGTATTCTCTAGATACTCAGCCAGATCAACCTTATTATGAACTCTGCAGGCACCAAGCAAACATCCCAACATGTAAATGTCAGGTTCCACCGGCATTCATTTGAGAAGATAATATGCATCATCGAAGTTCCCTGCTCTTCCACGATGCATGAGTAGTGCTCCATGTCAGTTACCACCCATCCACGATCGAAGCTCACATTAATATTTTTATAACAATAACATTAACTGGAATAAATATAATTAATAGAAAAATAAATTTAAAACTAAAAATTATATATATATATTGATAATTTTGAGTAAGTACAAGATAATATATGTTTCTAAGATTACTCTCAACCATTGACATTAAACGTTCCTACCTGACATTTTTGGTGCTCGAACCAAGACCTCAAAGGAATAACAACAATTCTTTTTATCGATATCATTGGGTTCTTGCAAAAACTAAAATCATAAAGTGTGGGGAAGAGGGGGAAAAGGGTTTATAGATTAGTTAACATTAACTAACCTTTGACTTAACGTCAATATCGTGTGGATTAGAAGGCCTTGGCTTTCCACCGCACCCTACAAATCCTTCACTCTAACACAAGACAATAGGCCTCTGGTTTTCAGGCGTGCTGAATATCATTTGGGCTTACTTTACAAACTTTCCAAAAACAAGTTTAGTTACTAAGTTTATGAGATTAACCTCTTAATTTCCCATGCGCAGCCTACTAATCTTATTCCCTTTCGTTTAATTACTATAAGTTTCAAAGCCGAAAGAATCAGAGAAATGATTACTTTTACACTAAACTCTTCACTTAAACGACTATACAACAGTTACAAAACCTGAGAAACAGATCAAATCTACACATAGTATATCAACTACCAACACTGCAACTTCCAGAAGATGTTATAATTATAAAAATATTACAAAATACATATATTACACAAGAACAAGAAGAAGCAAAGCTCAACCTCAGGTCCCCAACGTTACGTACATGTTATAATATCTGTTAAATTTGATCATTTAGGCCCCAAATGGGAACCAGCGTTCATGGAATGAAGACTGATTGGAGATCATGTAGAAAAGGAGCACGAGCACAAGTGCCACCCCCCAAGGCGACCCTCCTGCTCGGTGAAGCGAGTCCTTCTCCGGTTCCGGAATCAGGCTCGGAATGTTCCCTGAAAAGCAGTGAAGCAGAAGCAGAAGAACGACCGGAGCCAGCATGAGGAAGAACTTGATCTGGTTCATTAAATCCTCGAACACGGACTCGTAATTTATGTACCATGAGAAACCCAGTACAAAGAAAAAGATGGAAACGAAGAAACAAAGGTGGAGGGGAGGAGGAGATAGTAGTCGAGAATGAGTATCTGTCGTATCTAGCCATGCTCGTTTTCAGTTAACTTCAGAGAAAATGAGTCTTTTTTCTTAAAGAGAAAAAAAGAGGGATTCACAGTTTGAAAAAAAATTCTAGAACCAACTGATTTGTTTGCAATAAGAAAGTGGTTTAGTGGCCATGGTTATATAGGGAATTAAAGGTTGACATTTACTTGGATTATTATGTACCTTTTAATCAATCAACGATACCTAACTTATTATTTATAATATAACCATATTTATATAACTTCATTTCATCAAATCACACGATTACATGATATTCATTATTAATTAAAATTTTAAATCTAATAGTTAATTATCATATATATGTCTTAATATAATTTTTTGAAATATATAATGCTAAAGGTTATTATTTTATGCTTTGATAATAAAAAAATATTCAATAAGTATACATATTTGAATATCATATAAATATCTAAATATTTTAAATATATCATAAACCTTACGTAGATTTATGGCGATGATAAATTAGGTTTGCTATTTTTTTTTTCATTTTAGAGCTCTGCCCTACTCTCACTTAAGGTGTGCCTCACTATATTTATGATTAGTAAACCCTAAGATAATACAAGTTTAGGATAAGATTAAGGGTGAAAGACTTGGATTTTTGTGGTCACTCGACAATTACCGGTAAAAGTGGGTGACATGGCGGTGTCAATATTATTTATTTAAATAATCAAGGACCAGACAAGCTATTTATTTAATATTAAAGTTCTCTCTTTTGGCATGTAAAGTATTGGTTTCGGTACATCTCTGATGGACCGACCCTTATATTCTTTCTCCCCCCGGGTATTTTATGGTTTATTCGTTAAGGTTCATTTATTTATGTCCCATACATATTTATTTAACATTTAATTAACTTTCTCGTATACTATGTTATAGTACAATGTATTCGTATGCATGTTCAAATTAATAAACATGTACAAAAAGCTTGTACAGCAATCGACCATGCTTCTCTTGTCAAAAGTTTATAAAACTCTCTTGTCACTTTAATTTATTTGCAACATTAAAAGTACAAGAACAAAGCTTAGTCTCAATGAAACATTTCAGGACCATGAGCATTCTTTTTAACCAGCTGTTAGTACGGAATCGGGTAAAACTCATAAGGTAATATATAAATGGTAATTAAATAATAGTTGGAATTAGGGATGTGCACTCAACCCGAACCCGACGGTTCTGACCCGATCGGATCGGGTCAGGTTTTTTTAAATAAATTTCGGGTTTGGGTCGGATCGGTTTTTTTAAATGTACTATTCGGGTCTGGTTTGGATTTAAGGTAAAAAACACGACCCGATCCGACTCGAAAATATATAATTTTAACCTTATATATTAAGAATAATTACAATAATACCCTCTATATAATTTTTTCAATTAGTCATTTTATTGAATAAAAATAATTTTTTGTTATTTTGGGTCGGGTAGGATTTCTAAGTCATATATTCGGGTCGGGTCGGCTAAAACCTTGTTTTGGTCAGGTCGGGTCTCGGGTGGAGGCTCCTTAGTTCTCGGGTAGGGTCGGGTGGACCAAAAACCCGACCCATGTCCATCCCTAGTTGGAATATAATTATCTTAATAATTAATCTGGAGTGAATATAAGATAACATATTTTTTAATATTTAATTTATTTAATTTCAGAATTAAAATATTTAAAAAGTAATTAAACTCAAATATTAAGAAGAATCGATATTAAAATTGATTTCATGGTTTGAAGGACGTGTAGTTACTTTCCTACAAATACCAGCTTTGGAACAAAAAGAAGGTGGTTTTATAAAATGGTTTTCGTTGCTTTAATTACCTTTTCCCCCTTGATTTGGAATTTCCTTGCATCGTAAGGATTCCTTGTCAAATAATAATATTGAAAAACGAGGATATTTCCAACAAGGCCGGTGACAAATTTGGATTATTTTAATGGTTGAGATTCGCATCTGCAAAGCTGTAGGCCAATGGAAAGCTGACACTTTACAACCGACCATAGACTAGATCTGGAAAAGATGCCAAAATAATGGAGAAAATAAATAAAAAGGTAGGGTTTTAGTGAAGGAAAAAGAAAAGAAAATAAAAGTGGTCCATCTCACAATTGCTCACTGCTGCTTTTGGCTATCTTTATCCACATGATGCTAAAATAATTTGGAGGACCATTGCACTTGTATTTTGTTTTTAAAATCATCGTATGGATTCAAAAATATCATACATATATTCAGATGTGAATAGATTATTAAACTCAAGCTCTTCAAGTATAATATCTATAAAATTTAAAATAATCATATTTTAAATATATTTACATTTTTATAAAAAAAATTAAATTAAAATTCGATCATTTCCCCCCATATATCGTACGTGTACTCTTAGGACACAATCTACTGATAAATCATAATCCAGTTTCAACAAATGATAATTTACCCAATATCCATTGAAGAAAAGAAATTACGGAATACCCCACGTTACGAAAGGAAAATGGTAGTTAATTAACTACCAATGAAAGATATGCCTCCTGGCATCCAAATTCAAATGGGGCACCTCCACTTAAGCACGGGCATTGTCATATGATTAGCATTGTTAGTTCATGATATTATCGGTTAATCGACCTCTTCACTATTAAAAAAATAAGATTTTGTAAAAAGATAATCTTATATGTCATAATATTCTAATTTAAAATGTCAAAAGTATAAAAGATTAATACTTAATATATTGTATGTGCTATTAAAAAAATCCATTATCTGTAAAATATTTTTATTTCACAAGTAATATTTAAATATTATAACATATCTTACCTTCTAAACTATGTTTTTCTAATATCATATTATATATATATATATTGTTATCCTCTTCATTCTTTTAAGCTTTTACCATTATTAATTCGGATTGACTCATGTCACAGATGATTTTGGTAGGTGG